CTGAATTGCACAAAACGCATGATCGCACCGGCTAGTCTGGTGCGCGTTGCCATTTATTTCAAATTTATTTTTATTAATCTATTTAATAATCCATTTAATCTGTTTGACAAACTTTAACGAACTTTATTTAAAGAAAATTAATTAAGAAATGAATAAAACTTGGAAAATATTCGAAAATGTGGTGATAAGAAATGTTTCGTTCCATTAAGTCGTGTACATTTCTTAACATTACCACAGTTGGATTTCGTCAATACGACGATTGATATCTCATCTACTTTCGATAACTGCTGTCTCGTCTTTTTCCATGTGGCTCGTCTTTTCATGCGGAGTGAGCGCAGGAAAGATTTTAACTTTTAACCCTGCTTTTTTCGCGATGTTGTCTGCTGATTAGTTGGCCAGGGTGTCTATGTACGAAGCGCTTTGGGTAGCGTTTGCAAAACCGTTACTCTAGAGCTCGCAGTGCTGCTATAGTGCAGTCATGACCTGCATACTGTTTTAACTGGGCCTCTATTTGTCCTGAATGACTTCTTCTACAACTTTTGTATGGTGAGGGTGCTGGATTCTTGCATATTCCTGTAATGTTCAAAATAAAATCTTAAAAAATTAATAATATCCTTCGAAAATCGCCAAAAATTTAAAAAAAAGTGCGCTTTACACGTATATTCTGAGTCATAACCTTGAAATTTGTTAATATTTTCATGCAGCCATTAAAATGCCGCTGGCTGACTATTTTGCTTGCCTTGCTGGTAGCCAATGGACGTATTAGTTAGTGGTATGCACGAGAAATAGGCGAATCTGATGGTCCTCGGACAGGTGGTGCACACAAATTTTTAATAATTTTTAATTTATGCCTAATTTTTTTATTAAAATTTAAATTTATTTGTGCTTAATCTACGCTTAATTAAAAATTTGATTGATTTGCGCCTTAAAAAAATTTTGCTGAAATTGAATTACACTGAAACTGAAATGACATCAAAATGGTATTGCTTTTATTTTTCAGAGGAGAAAATCTTTTTTTTTTTTGAGTTGCGGTCCTAGGATTTCTCCTCAGCCTACCCTTTGCACTGGACAAAAATTCTGTGCATTTTTCGTCATTCAGATTCTTTTCATTGGGAAGACTGTCAATTTGCTGTTCACGCTGGGCTTGGAAAACGATTGTCGAGATGAGATGAAGCGGATTTTTTCATCAGTTGATTCATCAAAGTGTTATTTGGATATTTTGCATTTCGATGAATTGCGCTGTGCGGTTGACAAGTATGTCTTTTGTTTTTTGTATTCTTATTCACCACTGTAAACATATTCAAAATTTACTTTTCAGTGATATTTTTATGTGATTTCGTATACTGCACTTTGCATTTTTCGTGCGACATATTGTGTTACGAATATGACCTAATAGCAGGTAGTACTACTGTCTTGGAGGAGTTCGAACTTTCGACTTTTGCCAGCAGGATAGTAGCGCATACCGGGGATTCAGTCTCATAATCAGCTTGCTTCTAAGCAACTCTCGAATGCGGAAAGTAAAAGTCCCCATGGGCCGTTTGGCCCCTGTGGGCAGAAGGAATTAGGAAAAGTAAGGACTGGACAGGTACTGGATGACTCTGACTAAACCGTGAATGAGAAGGAGTCGATCCTAAAGACGGATTCGATCCCAGAGCCTCGCCAGCTTGTGATTACTTTTGGCATTTACTGCTCCTGCCCTTCTCAGTGCCTCTGCTCCCCTACGATACAGATGCTGCAGCGAAGAGTTTGACTTTTCAAATTTATAATTTTCTTAGGTTAATTTTGATGCAGAAATTTAGTACCATCTTCCGTACCGTCTGACCCTCCATTCGTACAGCTGGCAGCTTTCCCGATTGTTTTGAAGTGCTGCACAGCTCAGGGGCCTGCGTTCGGCATTCCTGGTGTCCATTTCGCCTCGACACAACCCCTTAACATGGCTTTAGCTATTCAAAACGTCTGTATATGAAATCAAATTGTTGCTATCGAATTTGAATACAGTTTTCCTTCCAGAAGAAATCTTGCAATTTTTTCTTATTTTGTATATTTTCGCTGAAAAATTCATTATTTTTTGATATTCTGATTTTATTTTTTCATTGCGAATTTATGGAGATTCGTTTTAGACTGCTCATCTGTGCCAAAGATCTGATCGCCCGCAAAATTATCAAGAAATATGGCGTGTTCGAGCACATCCGAACGGTTCAGGAGCTTTACCTGTTGGGCGATGAATGCTTTGCACATATCTTCTACGGCAAACTAAAGTTGGTTTGAACTACTAAGTACTGGGATGTAAAATTTGCCCGTAATGTGCGATCACTGGGCCATCATAAACGTCTAAATCCTGTTTGGACCAGGACTGGCATTTCCAGTTTTTATGCATTTTGTCCTGTGTAGCAGCAGTACGAAGCGCATATTGTCACGGGGTTGTCTGTGTATGCATATATATATATATATATATATGTATGTGTGTGTGTGTGTGTGTGTGTCCGGTCCGTGTCCGAATGCGTTTTGTCCCGCACTTTCAACTTGGGAACCACAAAAGTTAGGCAGCTATATTGTTCCGCATCAATGTGTGACGCGGCAAATTTAAATTCAGCCTTCCCGTATCCGTGGGTAACATGTACGACCCTGTAGAAGTTTTGGCAGGTAAAATAAGTATCTCGGGGACTGCATGAGTTAGAAATCTGAAATTTTATGGGTATATCCCCTGGCGATTTACGACCCAGAGAGCTCAAATTGAATCCTCCTGTACCCACGGGTAACACTTTTGGCCCCTTAAAAGTTTTGGCGGGGGAATTATCTCGGGAAGTACGAAAGCTGGGAAACTGAAGTTTTTTGGATATGTCCTCTACCCAAGTGCGGCCCAGAGAGCTTAAATTCAACCCTCCTGTGCCCGCGGATAATACGTACGGCCTCTTAAAGGTTTTGGCGGGTAAAATCATTATCTCAGGAACCGCGAAGGCTAGGGAGCTGGAATTTTATGGGTATACCTCCTGAACACGTGCACCCCAGAAAATTTAAATTCAACCTTTCCCATGCGCTTAGGTATCGCGTACGGCTCCCTGAAAGTGTTGGCGGAAAATTATCTTGGAAACCGTAAAAGCTAGGAAGCTGAAATTTCAGAATGATATTTTATGTCACTGCAGGTATCTCGCAAGCTCAAATTTAGCTCTCAAGAGTGTAGAGGTCTTACGTAAGACCACGTGAGATTTGATGTGAAACTCACTAGCTCGGAAGCCGGAAAATTAGAAGGTTGAAATTTGGAAGGATGTTCCTCATCCATGTTTTCAAATTCAGCTTTCAGGTACCGGCACGTGGAATTTTCACTGGGAAATTCCTCACCTTAGGAGCTATACAGCATATCTACTTTTTTTCCGTATACGAAAGTGTAAAACAGTTATATTTTTAATAAGCAAACATCCACTGGACGGAACTGCACAAAACGCATGATCGCACCGGCTACTATCCTAGTGCGCTTCGCTATTTATTTGTGTTTTACTTGGGGGTGAGTGGACGAAGGTGTTTACTAGTAGGTTGCTGGAACAGTCTTATTTTGCGTTTGAAAGTTTAGGTCACCAAACTTTCCCTATCGATCACCAACTTTTCGAAAAAGAACGTATAAAGATGAGGGAGAAGCGATGGATAAAAGAACGATTAACATTTTTTAATGAATTTTTGAATCTCTCAGTACTATCAGGAGTCCCAACAATAAGTTAAAATGATCATACTAAATCCAGTAATTTTGAATAAGGCTTCTATGTGGGTCAGCTTCGTAACTGGTTGTCCAAGAGGCGTGCTACCGATTCTGACGTCCGTTACAAATCACTAATTCAACGGTTCTCCGCTAAATCCGGAACCAGAAAAGTTAGAAAGCTGAAATTATGGGGTTATGTCCCCCGTCCATCTGGAACCCAAGGATTTCAAATTCAGCCCCCAGGTGTGCGTGGTTCTCGCGTATGGCCCGATAGATGCAGTGGACATTGATATGTTTCCGGTACATTTTGTTCACTATCAGTTTTGTTTCGGACGTTATCATTCCTATAAAAATTTAGGTTACCTTGTTGACGAGGAGCCGAAAAAGTGCCGGTAACTGATATTTGAACAGTCTGTTTTTCAGAGCAGAAGTTGGCAATTTAGGATTTTGCGTATTGGATTCGTTGCGGACTTCTCGAGCATTCCAATTAGCAGCGGAAGAGTACTGCTTTTGGCCGCACGAAATAACGGAATTTATGAAAATTGACGCAACATGTGGTTTGATGGTGAAATACGAAAATGATGACATATCCTGTCTGATCCCCAGTCCACGTGATCCGGACAGCAGCCCAACAATTCACTTATTGTACAAGACAGAAGTTCCCATTTCGATTATCCTGAATTGCGAGTACGTTTGCGTAATCTCCCTAATTTTTAACGCGTTTTGAACTATGCGACAGCTGAACAAATCGCAAATTGTCACGTAGTTGGTTGTGTGTGTGTATGTGTGTGTGTGCATGTGTGTGTGTGTGTGTCCGCAGCAACTTGTCCGCAACTTTCAACTCGGAAGCCACAAAACCTAGGAAGCTGAAAATTTAGGGTAATGTTCCCCACCCGCTTGTGTCCCCGCAAATTTAAATTCAGCTACCCCGTATCCGCAGGTAACGCGTAAGGCGCTGTGGAAGTTTTGGCGAGGAAAGTTATTATCTCGAGAACCACGTAAGCTAGGAAGCTGACATTTTGTGGACATGTCTCCTGCCCACGCGCCACATAGAAAATTCAAACTCGGCCTTACCCTGCACATGGGTAACACGTACAGCCCTGTAAAAGTTTTTGCAACTAAAATTATTACGGAAACCACGAGAATTGGGAATCTCAAATTTTAGGGCGATGTCCCCTATCAGCGTACAATCCCTACAGATTTGGATTCAGCCTTCTTGCACTGTTGGGTGCCACGTATGGCCATGTGGAAATTTTGTTAGGGAAGTTGTATCTCGTGAACTCCGCAAATTTTCAACGTCCCCATGGGAGTTTTGGCGAGGAAAATCATTATCCTGGAAGCAAGAAGAGTTAGAAGGCTGAAAATTTTAGGAGAATGTTTCCTGCTTAAGTAGAGACTTCACAAACTCGAATTCAATTTCTGAGTATGCCGATGTCTCATGTAGGTGTACGTAAAAATTTTGTCTCAAAGATCAACCGAGAGCCAGAAAATGAGGAGACTAAAATTTTGAAAGGATATTCACCCTTTGAGGTTTCAAATTCGGCTTTCACTTACCGGTGCGTGAATTTTTAGTAGGAAATTCCACAACTTAGGAAACAGGCAACATTTCAACTATTTTTGCACAGATCAAAGTGCAAAACAGTTAAAATCATTAAAAGGCAATCGTTCTGCGGATAGAATTGCACGAAACGCATGGTCGCACCGGTTGTTCTGACACGCGCTGCTCATGCTTTTTGCACCCAAAATTTTTAAAACAATGCATGACCTTCGATATTTATTGGTAAATTTTATGCGCATTATCGTGCAGTTGGAATTAGAGAGGATAGGAAGCTGAAATTTTAGCAGCATTGTCCCTTTGTGTTTCCAAAAATTTTCAGAAATCCTTACAGGAGGCTAAACAGACAAAATGGTAAATAAGTGGCAAATTACGACCACTATCTTTGTTATTTCATCGCAATTTTTGTTCTTTTCTTGATTGCCCTGACCAAAGCTGCTTCTATTTACATCGTTCCAGCCCATCCACTAGCAATCTAAAGTTTTGCAGCGAGGATCACAATCTAT